CTGATACCTTCAGGGATTCCCCCGCTGACAGATAAAATGTAAACAAAAGAAAGACAGCAATTATCGGTTGTTATAGAGTGGGCAGTTGCATCCCTAATATTTAAGATCAGAATGTTTGAAGAACAGAGTATCTGTAGGACTTAAAAAAGTTTTAGAAAAACTACTATTTTATTAAGCTTACTTCGCCCATATAGGAAATTTTAAAGTTCATCCAGGTCATGAGAGATGCTTTTATAGAGCATAGCATGGGAGGAATATTAACTTTGTATTGGTTATAGGGGTTTTTGGGTATGGATACCCCAAGGTTAGAGATTTTTTTTTCTCTACACCAAATAAAAGGGTAAATTGCTCCAAAGGGGCTTATGAAAGTTGTTTAGGCAGAGTTCTATAGCCGGAATAGCCTGAGATTAGACCAAGCAATTTAATAAGAGACAGTGGGCAGGGCAGGAAAGATTCTGGGATTTTAGTAGGCGTAGGAGTGGATCAAGCGCAAGGATAAAAAAAGGATTAAGAAGGGGGACATCCTTGCCTTGCACATGAATATAATTTTAATTGAACTCTGTTGCAAACTAATACATTCAACACTGGCTTTGATGCCCTTCCTTGTAGATAAAAGCCAACAAAAAAATCAGTCTCTTAATTCCAACTTTTTTTGCCAAGGAAAATAGAAGTGATTAGAACAGATTGTTACACTTAGGTTGGGCCACTCACCTGACAACGCAATAGCCTCTCCTGACCGTATACTTGGTTCTATTTGAAGTCCTGGAGTTTGTGACTCTGTTGGCGGACATGCATAAAAAGAACCCGTAACTTGATAGCCTGTTTTAAAAAAAGAGTATTGACAATGCTCACTTATAGTACATCACTTTGCCTTGACTTCCAACTAAACTTTTCCTGACCAGAGTTATTTAAAGCATAGATGCCCAGATCAAATTTAGCAGTGTGACAATAAATTATAACTAATTTGTCTGGCAGAGGACCTGAAAATTAGAAAAAAACAGCACAGTTGTAAATTCCTAGTTCTCCACTGCAAATTAATTAATATTCTCATAGAACGGGGCATTACATTTGAGAAATCATATTGAAGTCACAAAAGTGTTAGTATTCTTAAAATAGTGTTAATGTGCACATTTGAAAGCCAAAACTTCTGCTATTCTTTTTGAATAGAGTAGAGTAGACTGTCAGTTTTTATTGTCTTCTGTGTTTCACTATTTTTTCTTCATTTTTTTTATCCTGTAGACACAGTATTAATTGAGAACAAATCTCTCCAAAATGAAGTAAATGCCCTCTTAGTCTGTTGTCACTGGAGTCCCCATTGGAAAATTTCTCCCTTCCTCTGTTCCAATGACAACTCAGCATTTTGGATACCAGTCCTGTGACAGTGGGGAATCTCCCTCACCTACAAAGACAGCATAAAAAAACCCAGCTGGGGCCCTCACCCCTTTCCACTCTATCAAAATGTAAATTCATATTGACTTTATGTACAATCTATTATTACTAGATCTGGTATTGTAGACTTACATTGCTACAGCTATTTTTAGGTGTTAAAAGGTAGCAGATGCTTATTTAATTTCTCACTTTAAATACATATGACCAGACTGATATTAAAGTATAACTAAAGGCAATTTTCTTTTTAGTTTTTGATAGAGTGGAGATGGATTAGAACGCCTGTAAGTTTTTATTGCTGTCTGTGTCCCTGTTATGGAGACTCACCCTCTCTATCTGTCCTGTTTGCCATCATTATCTAAAGTGAAAGTAAAATCACAAATGTTGTACTGTCCCCAGAAAAGTAATAGAGGGCAAATCTTCTAATGGGGACACTAGTTCTAGTGACCTGGGGGTCCCCAAGAGATTCTTTTAATTTTCAGGGATTTCCTTTGTTTGGCTACAGGACAGGAAGTGAAGGGAAATCTCCCCAATGGAACAATGATGGCAAAAATAAACCTTACAGTGGTTATAACCCTCCCTTGCTCTATCCAAAATGGAAAAAAAAAAACCCTTTTGCCTATAGTTCTACTTTAAGTTGATTAATGGGCATTGTCAATGCCTTTTATTATTTCTTGTAAACATTTTGCAGCCCTAATAGGTAAAATAGGATCTCACTTTAGTTAACTGATTAAGTAGAGAGGGAAAACACAGGAAATATTTTTTTTTGTAGAACTGGCCAATCGGGAGTTTGTCACCGGATGCCACACCAAATATACCCACTGGTACCACCCACTGAATGTAGAAGGTCCAAACTGACATGCATCAAATCAAGTTCCTACTAATTGGTTTGCATGAGTAAGATTAGGTCTGTAATAGAACAAGATACTGAAGAGGATGGGGCTATTGATAAATGTAGAAATCACTGTCAGTGTACCCATTTACCAAGGACTGCTGTGCAGGGAAGCATTAAATAACATAAAAAGCAAATCTTTTGAAAATGGACAATATGTGTTTTCTCCACCGCTACTCAGAAGACAGGAGTGGGTTTCCAAGCACCAGTCCAGGAGTGTATAGCTGCAGGGAGAATGTACACCGCTCAAACTGACCCAATGAAGCCAATGACAGTGTTGGCCTCAACCACCGCTCCCTCTAATGCTTTTCATCCCACCTGCCAGGGCTTGGTCACAGAGGTAGGAAGAACACACAGAGCAGCTGGTTAAATATGCATTATTGGCCATGATGAAACTATCAACAGGTGTGATGGGTAGTAATGTGAAAAAGTAAGTAACGCAAAGAAATGAAAAAAGAGGGAGAAAAAAATGTTTAGAAAAATTAAAAGAATACAATAAAAAGAAAAAAAAGAAAAAATATGTAATGAATAAATATATGTGAAAATGTGTCTAAAAATATATTGTAAAAATATACAAAAATATATGTTTATGTAAAAAAGGGTGTCAATGTGAAAAAAGTGAATGCATAATAAAAATAAAAAATGTTGAAAATGATAAAAAAATCTAAATTTTTGAGATGATAAAAACATAGAATCAAATCAAGCCTACCATAGGTTAAAAAGCAACTAAAAGAATCGGAGAGCCTCTCAACCAAGTGATGAATGAAATACATGAATACCTTCTGTTCTCAGATAACATAGATAGAATACTGAAGAGATTAGTATAGACATGTATTACCTAAGCCCTATGAGCCATTTGGCATGAGAAGAGCTAGGCATCGTCCTTCCACCATTTAACCCACATCCTCATACTTCCAACATTCCTCAACAGATCAAAACTTTTGTCATCTTTTACAGGTGACATTCACAGTAACTACAAAGTTTAATTGATTCATGACATTCATGCAGTGGTATCTTGATAATGAAATGACCTATAGCTGGAATTTTTCTACCATTTTATTTCATGTTTTTTGCCCCTTAAGTGCAAGGACAGTAGAATACCCTAATAATTATACTGGGTCAATATATGCAATTCAATTTTTTTTAAATCACATGAATGTATTTCAATTGCACACTATAGTGACAAGGGTTGGGTCAAACTATAGCACTCAAAGGCGTGCTTACAAGTCCTCATGCGCACTGGATGTTTTTACAGCAGCTGTTTTTGGCTTCTGGCGTTTTTTTCTACAGCCAGTAAACTCCCCAGCATGTTATCCTATGTGTTCATGCACACATAAGCTTTAATCAGCATTTTTTGGCAGGAGCATTTTCTGGCTGGAAAAAAACCCAAAACTAGTGGGTTTCAAGTGGAGTTTCTTAGCTGTAAAAAATGCTCTAACGCTGATAAAAGCTGAAAAACACTAAAATACGCAGCTATCTGGTGTTTATGAGCTTTTTGAGCCTGAAGATATTGTGAGAGTAAAAATTATAAAAAAACACAAATGCTGAAAAACACACACAAAAAAAACGCTCAAGAAAGCTAATGCAAAAAAGCTAAAAAAAAAACACGGTTTTTATTGCAGCATTCTACTGCTAACGCTACTGGCGTTTTCATAACGTCCAGTGTGCCTCAGGCTCAAGGGCTATCCATTATTATTCACATGGTTTAAACCCTGTTTAAATAGAAAAATGGTCCAACCCCTGTCCCTGCCAGTGTGGTGGACAGCTTTGCTGAACATAATTGTGTAGGGCAAAAAAAAAAAAAAATATATATATATATACCGTATTTGCCGGCGTATAAGACGACTGGGCGTATAAGACGACCCCCCTACTTTTCCTGCTAAAATGTAGTGTTTGGGCTATACTCGCCGTATAAGACTACCCCTCTTCCAATGCACACCAGTGGGAGGAATAGTGCCCCATCATTGGAATCAGTGGGAGGAATAGTGCCCCATCATTGGTATCAGTGGGAGGAATAGTGCCCCATCATTGGTGTCAGTGGGAGGAATAGTGCCCCATCATTGGTGTCAGTGGGAGGAATAGTGCCCCATCATTGATGTCAGTGGGAGGAATAGTGCCCCATCATTGGTGTCAGTGGGAGGAATAGTGCCCCATCATTGGTATCAGTGGAAGGGATAGTGCCCCATCATTGGTATCAGTGGGAGGAATAGTGCCCCATCATTGGTATCAGTGGGAGGAATAGTGCCCCATCATTGATGTCAGTGGGAGGAATAGTGCCCCATCATTGGTATTAGTGGCAGGAATAGTGCCCCATCATTGGCATTAGTGGCAGGAATAGTGCCCTATCATTAGTATCAGTGGAGGAATAGTGCTCCATCATTGGTGTCAGTGGGAGGAATAGTGCCCCATCATTGGTATCAGTGGCAGGAATAGTGCCCCATCATTGGTATCAGTGGGAGGAATAGTGCCCCATCATTGGTATCAGTGGGGGGAATAGGTGCCCCATCATTGGTATCAGTGGCAGGAATGGTGCCCCATCATTGGTATCAGTGGCAGGAATAGTGCCCCATCATTGGTGTCAGTGGGAGGAATAGTGCCCCATCATTGATGTCAGTGGGAGGAATGGTGTCCCATCATTGGTGTCAGTGAGGGGTGGAATAGTGCCCCATCATTGGTGTCAGTGGGGGGTGGAATAGTGCCCCATCGTTGGTGTCAGTGGGGGGGGGGAATAGTGCCCCATCGTTGGTGTCAGTGGGAGGGAGGAATAGTGCCCCATCGTTGGTATCAGTGGGAGGAATAGTGCCCCATCGTTGGTATCAGTGGGAGGAATAGTGCCCCATCATTGGTATCAGTGACACCAATGATGGGGCACTATTCCTCCCACTGAGACTTGCTGACCCTGTTCTCGTATGGTGCTGCTGCAGCCAGCATATGTGGTTGCAGCAGCACCTCTACACAGAACACTTACCTGCTGCTCCGGCACTCAATTTTCGCGGGGCCGCTCGGCTCCGCCCCCTCGCCGGTGATTGGCCGCCTGTGTGCCTTTCCTGAGCTACAGTTCTGGCGGCCAATCACCGGTGAGGAGGCGGAGCCGAGCAGCCGCACGAACATCCAGTGGCCAAATGAAGGAGACGCCGCGCTTCCTGGACCGGATCGTCGTGGGACTGGATCCAGGTAAGAGACATCAGCCCCTGCAAACCCCTGTACTTAATGCCGCAGCCCCCCTAACATGTGTACCGGCGTATAAGACGACCCCCGACTTTTGAGAAGATTTTCAAGGGTCAAAAAGTCGTCTTATACGCCGGCAAATACGGTATATATATAGTATATACAAACATTTGTGAAATAATGGTTCACTCTCAGGAGCTCAGTGCATTCAAATGTGGTACCGTAAATATTCCACGGTAAACTGTTAGTGTTATTATAACAAAGTGGAAGCAACTGGGAACAACAGCAACTCAGCCATGAAGTGGTAGGCCACGAAAAATGACAGAGCGGGGTCAGTGCATGCTGAAGCGCACAGTGCGCAGAAATTGCCAACTGTCTGCACAGTCAATTGCTAAACACCTCCAAACTTCAACAGTGCAACACTTCAACATGACAACAGTGCGTAAAGAGCTTCATGGAATGGGTTTCCATGGCCGAGCAGCTGCATCCAAGCCTTACATCACCAAATGCAAAGCAAAGAGTCGGATGCAGTGGTGAAAAGCATGCTGCCACTGGACTCTAGAGCAGTGGAGAGACGTGTTCTATGGAGTGACGAATCACGCTTCTCTATCTGGCAATCAGATGGACGAGTCTGGGTTTGGCGGTTGCCATGATAACAGCACTTGCCTGACTGCATTGTGCCAAGTGTAAAGTTTGGAGGGGGGATTATGGTGTGGGGCTGTGTTTCAGAGGTTGGGCTTGGCCCCTTAGTTCCAGTGAAGGGAACTCTTAAGGCATCAGCATACCAAGACATTTTGGACAATTTCATGCTCCCAACTTTGTGGGAACAGTTTGGGGATAGCCCCTTCCTGGTCCAACATGACTGCGCACCAGTGCACAAGGCAAGGTCCATAAAGACATGGATGAATGAGTTTCGGGTGGAGGAACTTGACTGGCCTGAAAAGAGTCCTGAACCCAACCAGATTACCTTTGGGGTGCATTAGAGCGGAGACTGTGAGCCAGGCCTTCTTGTCCAATATCAGTGCCTGACCTCACAAATGCACTTCTGGAAGAATGGTCAAACATTCCCATAGACACACTCCTAAACCTTGTGGACATCCTTTCCAGAAGTGTCACGAAAAAACACAAGAGTACGCACTCTCCTTGTGCATTACCACGATAGCAAATTTATTAAAAAGATATATCACACAAATGGATACTCACAAGCAAACCATAAAAACAGACACAGAGCCTGATTTTTCAGTCCCTCACAATGGGGTCCTGTCCCAACAGCTGCTTGGTTGGAATAGCTGCGGTGTTTCGGGAGATGGACTCCTTTCCTCAGAGCTAAACCAACCAAAGTTGCCAATGCCTCATATACAGGGGAAATCGCATGTGTTAACCATCACCACACCCCCGCCATATGGGAATGAACAGGGGAGAGGCCTTCCAGGGACCAACCAAGGTGAACACTCTCCAGCAGATGAACTGCCCAGATAAACACTATTGATTGCTCACTCAATGGCAGAAATGTAACATACTAGCAATTGTCGTGATGTAATCTGCCATTCATATAAATACATTCAACTAAACTGTAAAACAAAATGCCTGACTGCAAAAAGTAGATATCCACTATATGTGTGATCCAACAATCATGGAGGCAACTTACTCATGAATATACCTGTATTGGATGAGCAAAGGAAAGGGGTGCCTCCTAAGGCCAAATGGTGGTGCCTGGAACGCAAGCCGATAAAACCGCTGTTACCAGTAAGTGCACCAAAAATGCACCAGAAATGCGCTGTCGCTAGCATGCATGTGCGCCCATTGTGTCCATCAGGGAAAGTGCGGAAGGGAGTCCATCTCCTGAAACGCATCAGCTATTCCAACCGGCAGCTGTTGGGACAAGACCCCATTGTTTGGGACTGGAAGACCTGGCTCTGTGTCTGTTTTTATGGTTTGCTTGTGAGTATCCATTTGTGATATATCTTGTTAATAAATTTGCTATCGCAGTAATGCACAAGGAGAGTGCGCCCTTTTGTGATTTTTTCTGACAGTTCCTAGAGTCCCCGATCCTCATCAAGTGACAGATACCATGTCCCACTAAGGAGCACCAGGATTTGAGCAATGTTTTTTACATTATTTCACATCCTTCACATCCTTCCCAGAAGAGTTGAAGCTGTTATAGCTGCAAAGGGCGGGGTCAACTCAATATTGAACCTACAGACTAAGACTGGGATTAAAGTTCATGTGCGTATAAAGGCAGGCGACCCAATACTTTTGGCAATATAGTGTATATATATATATATATATATATATATATACAGAATACTGTATATATGGAATACAAAGAAATTTAATATACCAGCTACTATTGTTGTTTGTATTATCCACATACGGTTATCAGCAAACATTTTTTTGTAACAATGGTAATCTTTTTAATGTCACTACAAGAAGAAGTGTAATTGACTTTTTTTTAATAAGGAATATATGGTGTCGAGCCCTATGTTTCATGAAACATTTAAAAAGTTGCAGTAACGAATTTGGCATACTCAGCATTCACAAGCACATTATGCTCAGCAATGACCAGCAGAATACATTCTGCAGTAATACATTTGTTAAATCAATGCCTAGTATATTATATACATGAATGATGTTAACAAGTATATCTTTACTTCTTAATCATATCATCCTTCATTCTAGCAAATAACAAATAATTATTGGATTTATTAAGCTTTGACATCTGATGCTATCATAGTTGAGGATATTCAGTTTTCTAACACTTTTCTAGTTCTGGTATTTGTTAAGGGTTATTTATTACCAGCCTTATTGATGAAACAGTTTTTCATCATAATGCCTTAAAATGCATTTTGTATTTAGATACATGTATATGTCTGATACATTTTAGTGTGAAATTATACTTATTAAATGATAAAAAGCTTGTACATATATACAATATGGCTTTTTTTTACCTTAAACATTTGAACACGGCCTCTGGAAAAGAAACAGATGACCGTCTATCAGCAAACCACATCTACTGATTTCCAGGCAATTAAGTTTCTATTTTATTCAGTTCAGTGATTTCTCTTATGAACTCCAGTGAAGTCATACAAAGTGTCATCTTTTTTTATCACAGTTTTTTTCATCTAGTTACACTTTAGAAAACGAAAAGCCACTCTATTTTGAAACAGTATACTGAGGTCATTAAAGGGTATCTAAAGTGTTCTGGACCCTTGTCAGGTTTGTATTGCTGTCAGTGCCTGTGCTGAGGATATTCACTCTCAGGATTTGTCCTGGTGACCATTGCTACAAAGACAGAAATTAAGGGAAAATCTAAAATGTTGAGTTTTCATTGGATTGTCTTTAATCAGTTAATATAATTATTGTCTTATATAATGTCTTATATAAAATATAATGTCTTTAATCAGTTAATATAATTATTGTCTTATATAAAATATAATGTCTTTAATCAGTTAATATATTGCTATTAGTTTGTAAGGATTATCATACTATATACCTTTTACCATATTGACCCATACTGTCCCATCCTCTGGAACTCCCTACCACAGCATGTCCGGTCAGCCCCCACCCTGTCTGCCTTTAGGCGATCTTTGAAAACTCACTTCTTCAGGGAAGCCTACCCCACCTCCACCTAAGAACTGTATTTGAATCACCTCCACCAGAACATCCCCCGCAGCTATCACCTTTTGTATCACCTCCCCCTTCCTTTAGATTGTAAGCTCCACGAGCCAGGCCCTCATTCCTTCTGTACTGAAATGTATTGTAATTGTACTGTCTCCCTTATATTGTAAAGTGCTGCACAAACTGTTGTGCTATATAAATCCTGTATAATAATAATAATAATAATATTGAAGTAAACATTATGGTGTAACTAAAAATGACAGTGAACCCCCACAGAAAAGTGGACGCTACATGAAGGAAGATAGTTCCTTTAATTTCGCTTTCGGAAACCATTTCAGCCTGCCATATTTGCTACAAATAAAAATTTGTTGATAATTGTTTTTCCATATGCCTAGGCACACCCCCACTGTTCATGTGACAGCACTGGCTAGAGGTCGCTCTGTCCACCAGTGCTGCCAATTGGAGGAGGTGGGTGGGATAATGTTTTTTTGATTTTCTCATACTCCAGAATTTGGAGACTTTTGATAAGCTTCACTGGTATGGTTAAGGCCTTCATACACAGCTTGAGAAAATCAGTTGGTAGCCCATTCATGCTAGCAGCTTGGACTTGCGGCACTTGCGGCTGCCTGACTACAGTGCTGTTGCTGAAGATTAACAACATTTGCAGTCACTGGTTGACCATTTTCCACCTGGCTCAGTAGTGTTTTTAAATCAACTTTTTATGAGTTGGGTGGGTTCAATGATGAGTTGAAGGACTGGTTCAATTAAAAATGGACAAAATGTAGCCATCTAGTGTGGCCTTTAGGAGGGGATAAGGAAGCATCTGGTCCCTCAGATAACCAATATCTTGGGTGTGGTTAAGTGTATCATCTTCAAATAGATTAGTTAGATAGATTCACTTTAAAGTGGTTATTTTACCTTAATGCATTTTTTGCAAAACCTTTTACATGCAACTCCCTCAACAGCCCCCCTAAATTCTCACCCAAGCCTGATCATGGTCCAGCACTGTGCAGAAGCCCTCTCCCTTCTCCCAAGCTTGGCTCCTGCTGATGTCACTCAAAACCTATAAGCAGAGAGCAGGGGGTGGAGTCGAGCCAGGCTGTGTGTCTGAATAGACACAAACAGCTCGGCTCGAGAGCAAGTCAGCATCAGTGCCCCCATAGTAAGTGACTTCCTCTGGTGGGCACTTGGCAGGGGGATTAACTAGAATCACCAGGCGAGGGACCCAAGAAGAGGAAGATTTGGGCTGCTCTGTGCAAAACCATTGCACCGAGCAGGTAAGTATGACTTGTTTGTTATTTCAATTTTTAAAAAGGGAAGCTTTAGTATTACTTTAAATAATACTTCTCTATAATATTTTTGATTCTGACCATACTTTCTTGGTCACGGATAATTCCTAATAATTAATTTCATGACATCCAGGGTCACTCCTAAATACATAAAGATGGGGGAATCAATTAACTTAACCCGTGGTGGAAAGAAAGAAAAGATATAATCTATGGCTGCTATAAGTGTTACTAAACCCAGGACCCTGCATTCACTATATCTGGTCTCCCACAGTACACAGAACATGGAAGTGCAATTACTTTAGTAAATATAAACTGCTAAATACCTTTTCTCATCAGTAGTTAGAGCAGTCTTGTGACTTCAGCAGAGCACTGGTTAAAGCTTGTAGGAGGAGTTTTCTCTAGGAGGATGGAAATCCCCTGACCTCTGTCTGGACAGTGCTGATTGGCCCTGTGCTGATCACATGCACTCTCCCAAGAAAACAAAGCCTCTCTAACAATACACACTAAACTGAGCATGTGCAGAAGGGCACGGGTTCGGTCTGTCTTATCAGCATGGACATTTGAACAATTAGAGGGGCAGAGAAGTAAAGATCACAATACAGAGGATTAACCCCTTAGGTTCCACAGTGAGTATAACAAGCATGCTTTACTGCATATACAGACTGATTTTACTGTTGTGGGTTTAGTAACTCTTTAATTATACAGTTTCTCATCTTTACTAGGTTAAACAGTAGTCCAGGTGCCAGTTCTTGCAAAAATTACATCACTTGTTACTACAATTTGGTACAATTAGAGAACACAGAAATCTATTAGCATTGGTACTAACACACAATGGGGTTCATTTATTAGAATAACAGAGATGGTCAATTTTTGCTTAGAAAGTATATTTACACTTTGGAAACTGAATGTTTACTCAGCTCAGTAAATAAGGTGAAATGTTGTTCACTTCACATAGCCAATCACGCTTAAGAGAAATTGATTAAAAACTGTAATTTTGCTTGTATGTGATTGGATGATTAACGTGGACACATTATTTGGCAGATTTAACCCGTATTTTTTTTTATTCTTGAAGCATTTTTCTTGTTATACTACAAATAAAATGAATACTATTATTAAAGATTATTATTAAATAATAATAATAATGAAACATATAGTACATTTTCAGTTATGAATGTAAAAATTATTTGAAAGCATAGCTATTATATTTTTTTCTTGCTTCCTGCAACATATTTTGAATATTGTATTTGACATACAAACATGTAACTGCGCCGTCTAATAATTATTTGTATCACAGAAAATTTCATTAGCAATCTTGGGGCAGCACAGTGGCTAAATGGTTCGCACTTCCGCCTGGCAGCACTGGGGTCATAGGTTCGATTCCCAACCATGGCACCCTCTGCCTGGAGTTTGCATGTTCTGCCTGTGCCTGTGTGGGTTTCCTCCGGGTACTCCAGTTTCCTCCCACACTCCAGCAAGACATGCTGGTAGGTTAATTGGCTCCTGTCTAAAATTGGCCCTAGTATGTGTATGTATGAATGTGAGTTAGGGGACCTTAGATTGTACGCCCCTTGAGGGTTAGGGACTGATGTGAATGTACAATATATATGTAAAAGCGCTGCGTAAATGGACGGCGCTATATAAGTACTTGTAATAAATAAATAATAAAATCTTGCATTTAGCTGACCACTCAACCAGTGGGCTAAATGAAAAAAAGTGAACTGATTCCCCATCCACACAATTGAGGTGGATGGGGCAATCATCCCTACTACGCTACTGTATGGTGGCAATAGGGGAACACCTCTGCTCTCAGAATATACTGATTAGTGCTGCAGCCGCTGATCAGGTAGCTCTTTTCCAACAAGTCTGCTCAGCAGACGTCAATACCTAGATTAATTTCTGTTGAGCCACAATGGCCCGAATGGTTTGAAATTTGGACGGTTCCTACTAATCCTTCTATGGTCAGCTTTATAAAAGTTGAGATTAGATGTTAGCCTTTTGGAGAGTCTATTGTTTCTAGCAAAAACTAAGGCAGGTCATACATGGTGCAAATTTCTTTCTTGCAACCACTCAATTCCCCCATCAACACAGACAGTGTCGACAGGGGAATCCCTCCAGTGGAGCTACTGTGTTCTTCCGGAGGAGAGGCAGGGTGGCGGGGGGAGCCGTCCACGCTGGGAGAAGACAGTGATAATTGCTAGTGGCTATAACAACCACTAACAATAACTGCGTGTAAAACCCAGCAGGCTAGTTGTACCCAAGTTGATCGATCGATCGATCAACTTGGATACATTCAGCCTGACCATACATGGTTTGAATCTCGGCTAGTTCCTGCTAAACTGGCTGAGATTTTAACCGTCTATGGCCGGCTTTATGTTATCCAAATTGTGCATAGTCACTCTACAATTATGCTTAGCATAATCTGAATTTAATGAGCAAACATGGTCACCCATATATACTTACAAATGTATTAAAGATTAATACTCACTGATGGGAATATATACATCAAACCCATCACATTTTGCATGTAAAAAGACAATAATTTCCCTTTAAGGCAAACATGCATCTCCTTCTGTTGTACTAGTGTCAATTTATTTAAAGACAATTTTTTTTATAGAATTACATTGTGTTTCAAAAACAGCAAAAAAAAACAACAAAAAAAAAACCAGTACTGGCAACATCAGACGGAAACTGGCTATTGGCTGAAAACATCCGACGTGCCTGGTAAAGTTTTCATGCAGGTGTTATTCCAGCACAATAAATTACAATGATTAATAATGTCTACTCTACCTGACTATGAAACAAACCTATGGAAGTCAGGATATGAGAGAACATGTTTTTGGATTTGATTCCAAAGGAGTGATATTTATTAGGACCTAAACTACTCAGGGCAGTGGTGTATTTTGGTTTTGTGCTGCCCTAGGCAAGACTATAATCGGGCAGCCCCCGCATCTAAATTTGCCCCACCCCTTCCTGTTTAAGACCCACCCCTTCATCTGTAACCCCCAACCCTTCCTATTTAGGCTCCGCCTCTTCCTGTTAGAGCTCGGCCCACTGACAACGATGGGGCCCTATTCCTCCCACTGACATCAATGATGGGGCACTATTCCTCCCACTGACACCAACAATGGGGCACTATTCCTCCCACTGACACCAATGATGGGGCACTATTCCTCTCACACTGACACCAATGATGGGGCACTATTCCTCCCACTGACACCAATGATGGGGTACTATTACTTCCTAACTGACACCAATGATGGGGCACTATTCCTCCCACACTGGCACTAATGATGGGGCACTATTCCTCCCACTGACACCAATCAGAGAGAGAGAGGACGGAGAGAGAGAGGGAGAGGAGGGGAGAGAGAGGAGGGGGAGAGAGAAGGGGGAGAGAGGAGAGAGAGAGGGAGAGAGGAGAGAGGAGAGAGAGAAGAGAGGAGGGAGATAGAGAGAGAGGGGGGGGGGAGAGGGGGGAGAAAGGGGGAAAGAGAGAGAGAAGAGAGAGAGAGGAGAGGAGAGAGAGGGGGGAAGAGAGAGAAGAGGGGGGGAGGAGAGAGGGGGGGGGAGATGAGAGAGGAGGGAGGGGGGGAGAGGAGGGAGGGAGAGAGAGAAGAGAGGGGAGAGAGAGAGAGGGAGAAGAGAGAGGTAGAGAGGGGGGAGATGGAGAGAGGGGGGGGGAGAAAGAGAGGAGAGAGAGAGAGAGGAGAGAGAGAAGAGATGGAAGAGAGAGAGGAGATAGAAGAGAGAGGAGAGAGAGAGGGAGAGAGGGAGAGAGAGGGGGGAGAGAGAGGGGGGGGAGAGAGAGAGGGGGGGAGAGAGAGATGAGAGAGGAGGGAGAGGGATAGAGAGGAGGGAGGAAAAGAGAAGAGAGGGAAGAGAGAGAGAGAGGAGAAGAGAGAGGTAGAGAGGGGAGATAGAGAGAAGGGGGGAGGGAGAAAGAGAGGAGGGAGGGAGAGCGAGGGGTGGAGCGAGGGGGGGTGGGGAGGGGGGGGGGGAGAGGGAGGGGTGAGAGAGAGAGAAAGGGGGAAGAGAGAGCGAGAGAGAGGGGGAGAGAGAGAGTGAGGGGGGGGAGAGAGAGAAGAGAGTGAGAGAGAGAGAGAAGAGAGGGAGAGAGATGAGAGAGAGAGGGGGGGGAGCGAGGGGGAGGGGGAAAGAGAGGGGGGAGGGAGAGAAGAGAGGAGGGAGAGAAGAGAGAGTGGGGGAGAGAGAGGGGGAGCAAGAAAGGAGGAGAGAGAGGGAGAGGAGAGAGAGGGCGAGAGAGAGAGAGAAGAGAGGGGGAGGACGAGAAGGAGAGAGAGCGAATAGAGGGGGAGAGAGGGGAAGGGAGAGAGGTAGAGAAAGGTGGGGAGAGGGGGAGAGAGGACTGGAGAGGGAGAGGGAGCGATGGAGAAAGGGGAGAAAGAGAGATTGGGGGGAGGAGAGAGGGAGAGGGGGGGAGAGGGGGGAGAGAGAGGGTGAGAGAGAAGGAGAGGGGAGAGAGAAGAGGGCTGAGGGAGATTGGGGGAGGGGAGGGAGAGAGAGGGGGGAGAGAAGAGAGAGAGAGAGAGAGGAGGGGGGAGAGGGGAATAGGGAGGGGAGGGAGGGAGAGAGAGGAGAGAGAGAGAGAGAGGAGAGAGGGAGAGGAGAGGGAGGGGGGAGGAGGGGGAGGGGGAAGCAGAGGGGGGAGAGGGAGAGAGAGGAGAGAGGGGGGAGAGAGAGGGAGAGAGAGGGAGAGGAGAGAGGGAGAGAGGGGGGGAGAGAAAGGGGGGGAAGAGAGACGAAGAGAGAGGGGGGGGGGGGGCGAGAGAGAGGAGGGGTAAGAGGGAGAGAGGGGGGGAGAGGGGGAGGATAGAGAGAGAGAGGGAGAGAGGGAGGGAGGGAGAGAGAGGGAGAGGGGGGGGCAGGGGGAGAGGGAGGGAGGAAGAGAGGGAGAGAGGGAGAGGGGGGGGGGGAGGGGTGGAGCGGGGGGGGGAGAGAGAGGGGGGGGGGGGGCTGTCAGCACTGGGGATGGCATATGCTGACAGATCCCCTGCAGTGCTGGAGGGAGGGGAGGGCGGCTGTGGGGGAGTATACAGTAGCTGACCGTATGCAGGAGATGGATAGGGAAGGTGACTGGCGGCACATAGAGCAAATGAGAAATGCACGGTCCTCTATGTGCCGCCCGGCCCCTCTCCAGCCGGCTCCATGGCTGACAGGTTCTCTGTCTCCTCACCCATCCTCGCCGCCGAGCACACACATGAACCTGCCCGAGCACGCCCCCCTGGCCAGGCACAGCCCTTTGCAGCGACATCACTGGTCCCTTCTGCCTGGGGGTGGTGCCGCCCCCCCTGAAAAGTGCCGCCCAAGGCAGATGCCTTGTTTGCCTCGTCGCAGATACGCCCCTGACTCAGGATGTTTCGGCCCAGGTATTATAGAGGTTTACATTTTTTGCCAAAATCTATTAGAATTAACTTTTGTTGTTGCAGCAACCCCAAAAAAAAATCTTACAGGTTACTTACATTAAAAAAAACTGAACTACACTTAAGAAAACAGTAACGTCAAGTGAACTGTAACTAGCAGGCTGTTTTGCTTCAGTTACCTTTCTCTGATCAACACAAACAAAGAAGAAAGAAGTTGAAGCAAGGTACATACTGTTATCACAGGAAGTGTTTTGCCATAGGTGACTGCGTGCTGCAAAAGGGACACTTGCACATTGGTAAGGAAGATCAGGATGTGGTTGTTCTGGTGCGTAGTCCCTCCAGCTCCGTTCGTGAGACATCATAAAGTGTGGCACCTGTCAAAGAGGAAGATGCAGCTTCTATTATTCTGTGCTGAGATCACATGAGAACAAAGAGCATTTTATTATGACTGCTATAAATAACAGTGTGCTTATATACAACATATATATATATATATACTCTATGCAGTATATATAATGTGCTGTGTGGGCAATTTAAATACAGTGTCACCATGCTGTCTGTTCTCACCTCCCTTTTTGCATCAGGACCTAAACAATAGCAGAGCTCTGAGTGAGCTATCCTCTCCTTCAGTAGAGATCATATGGCCAATGGCCTAGGATTTTTGTTCATGTGAGCAGCTCTGGAAGAAATCAGGAGCAGCAGATTTCCAGGAGAGGTATTTCACAGATCAGGTATTCTCTGCATCTGAGCTGGTACTTTCAGGTACAGGACTTGTTTGGTTTCCAACAAAGATGCTTTTTGTGTAGGATAAAGTGGTTATACCACAGAAAGGGGTTTGTTTAGTGTTAGGTGTTACTTTAGGAGATTAAATTAGGTTATTACTGGGGACAAGGATTATGGGGTTTACCCCTTAAAGCCCATTCATACAGGTGCAATGTGTTACGTGCGTTGGTGCAACGCTGTGACTTTGATTATGAATTGCACCTCAGTGCACATTTTTAACGCATCTGCATTGCAGCGTACCAGAGCATACAGAACGGCACAACCATGTGTTTCAGTACACTGTGCCAGAGACAATGGTGCATGTGTGATTTTTAATCCTTCCTGGTGCATCAAATGAATAGGCTGCCTGAACGCATTGCATGTTAATGTGTGTGAAGGGGCGCTTAGAGATGTAGTTAGGGTTATGTCTTAGGAGGCTGGTTAAGTGTTGGGGAAAGACTAAATGTTAAGGTCTCAATTTAGTGCAAGTGTTAAGGATCGAGGTTCAGAAGGTTCATGTTCAAGTAGTTGAAGTTTAAATTTTAAGGGGTACGTTTTATTTTAATATATTTTAACTGCTGGCTTTTTACTTGCTCTCGCTACTGAGATCCTCACAATAAAAACTACCAGAATCTGATTCCCAACAATTAGATAAGTTGTAATAAGTATTTAATCCCTTTTAGTAGTAGAATCTTACCATTCTAGCCATCAATCAATGTAGTAAGTGTGTATTTTAAAGCATACCCTTTATTGGCTAGCTCGGGTTATTAAAGACGCAAACTTTCGGAAACGCCAAAATGTCCTTTTCCTTTGGCTTTATACAAAGGTATCACCTAAACTACAAATTTGATGTATTTCATTCCTTCTACTACTTTTTATTTATCTGTTCCATTAAGAGTGTTAACTGTTTTTTAAATTGACATTTTAATATACGTAAGCTTCCATACAGGATGGTAAAGGCATCCTCAGAATGATGCCTTTAAGGCACTTGTAGACAATGAAGCAATAAAACCCTGGGTCAGAGGCATTAGACTCGCAGGGGTCTCCAAACCATGGCCCTCCAGGTGTTGAGGAAGTGCAAGTCTCATGAGGCCTTGCAAGACTCTGAAAGCCACAGGCAAGACTCCCAGAGGCAGAGGCTTGATGAAACTTGTAGTACTTCAACAGCTGGAGGGCCATAGTTTGGAGACCCCTGCATTAGAGTCATTAGTCCACTATCCAGACACCAAGCACTGGACAGTACATTAGGTATAATCCTACTGGCTTCATAAATGATGTATCGGTGGAAACTCTTGAAAAACAGGAATGTTTCAGGTTGGTGGTCATTTGATCATTTTAAGAGATGTTTAACCTATCAGAAACACTTGCTTATATTTATTTATTATACAACCACTACACTCACCGGCCTCTTTATTACGTACACCTTGCTAGTACCAGGTTGGATCCCCTTTTGCCTTCAAAACTGTCTTAATTCTTCGTGGCAAAGATACAACAAGGTGATGGAAACATTCCTCAGAGATTTTGGTCCATGTTGACATGAGTTACTATTGCATTTCTATCATCTTGAAACAGTCTGCCCTTTCTCTTCTTACCACTGATATCAACAAGGCATTTTCATCCACGCAACTGTTGCTCACTGTTTATTTTCTCTTTTTTTTGGACCATTCTCTGTGAACCCTAGAGATGGTTGTGTAAGAAAATTCCAGTAGCTCAACAGTTTTTGAACTACTCAGACCAGCCTATCTGGCATCAACAACCATGCCATGTTCAAAGTCACCTAAATCCCATTTCTTCCCCATTGTGATGCTCAGTTTGAACTTCAGCAAGTCGTCTAGATGCCTAAATGCATTGAGTTGCTGCCATGTGATTGGCTGATTAGTAATTTGTGTTATCAAGCAATTGAATAAGTGTACCCAATAAAGTGGCTGGTGAGTGTATATTCCTGTACAACAAGCATAATACCTATTGCACTGGCTGGAAAACTGACAAGAGTTTTGCACATACTTCACGAATTGTCAC